GTCAAGCAGTAAAGAAGTTGTTACCAGAAACTGTGACAAAGTGTTTCAAAAAAGCAGGATTTTCTACGGTAGAAGTTACTCCTAGTGTAGAAAATGAAAATGACCAGAAGGACTTACAACATTGCATGAATGAAGCTGCTTTAAGTAACTGCAATGCTGAGGACTACATCAATATAGACAAAGATGTGCAAACAGAACCAGACACAATGAATATCGATGTATTAGTTGAGAATTTTAGAGAAAATTGAAAAGGAAGAGAGGAGGAGGAAGAGGAAGAAGAGGAAAATGACATTATGATAGAAGAAGAAAAGTGTAGAGTGAAGACTTGTCAGGATGCTGCCAACAGTTTAAAGGTACTGCAGGAGTTTGCTGTGCAATGGAATGATTCAGACATGCTTACTCTAATTTCTCAAGCTAAAGTGTTTGTGGAAAGTCAGGCAGCCAAGAGAGTAAACTTCGTGCAAAAAACTCTGCTGGAATTTTGGTAAAATTATAAAAAGTGAGTACTGCAATTTTTTCCTGTTCAGTGTAATGTTTGCATGGGTTCAATGATTATAGTGTGAATAAATTAATGAGCATGTTGTTTTGTTTTGTCTCAAATACGTTTATGTCCTGGTTTAGTTATTATAGTATACCTTGATTAAAAGGAAACCTGGCTTCAGCGGAAATTTTTTCTGGTCCCTTGAGATTCCGTTTAAGACAAGTTTTACTGTATTTCCTTTGGTGTCACATGTGACATTTGATTCAACTCTGGGAAATCAAATGCAGTCACCTTTTGATTTTCTGAGTAAATTTTACAGTGGGTTCATCACAGTTCATGGACAGAATGAGACCCATATAATTTTTTTTTGTAGCATTAGCTACTTGGCTCACTCTTGACTCTGAAGATGCAGGTGGTATATCCCCCCGAAACATTGATGAAATTCTGCTGACTGCATGGTGTTACATTCCAGAAGGTAGTCATCACTGAGAACCTCAAATCCGACAAAATAAAATTTCCTAGTGAAAGATTCATGCTGGAAAAGAAATATTCTTTATTGTAGAGGGTAATATTAGATATTTGCACCATTTGATGGTGTCAGCATTTGGTACACTTAGTTTAAATATGGTCAGATAGCCAAAAGAAATTCTACCATTGAGTAGGGAAGGACTGTTGATTGAAGATTTGTTTCGGGTGGAATTTTCTGTGAACCACAACTTTTTTTTTCAAGGTAAGGGTTAGAGAACAAGTCAGTCTTTTGTAGACCATTGTCGAGTACAGGAACTGTTTCATGAACCCATCGGCTTCTTATCCACTGCAGATATCACTTGGACAGCATACACAGTCAATCTGAAAAGTAATGTGACAACATTGTAATGAACATAATGGAAGTTGTCTCGTTAATTTTCAGAAGAACTGTGTTTTGTAGGCCAGTTTGCGTGACATCCACTGGTGAGGAGTCCAGCCTGTTCTCTGGTATGTCCTCACCATTCATTCACCATGCTGGCACATGCTTGTGGCACTGGCACTTGTAGTAAGTAGGTCACTCAGCAGAGGAAGGGTTGACATGGATTGTTGGCTTAAATCTGGTGCTCTGAAGCTCAAATTTAAACAGGTGTGTAAATAGTGTGAATACAAGCAAGCCCAAACTAATGATGACAGTGCAAGGGAAGTGATTTATTTACCACAACAGCAGCCCAATGATGCTGATATCAATAACATGACAGTGAAATTATCAGAAGAAACAGTGACTGAAACCAAAGCAATGAGGTCTGTGAGAAGAGCAAAGAAGAAAGTTAAACAGTGAAGACTTGAAAGGGAAATTTTTCTGATCGATATAAAAGATCCCGTCCCTCATTGTTTATTGTGTTATGAAACTCTGGCAGGTAGATCAGTGAAAACTTCCAAGCTTGAATCCAAACACATGGAATATATATGAAATTGTACTGTTTTTTTTAGAACAAAAAAAATTCCATGACCTGTAATCCTGAAGCGGACCATACTGACCGAGCGACCGCCGCTTGTTGGCGAAGTTAGTGCCAACTTTTGTGGATAGAGGGTGTCACGTGGTCAGCACAATGGATCCCCACGGCCGTTAATTTCGGTTTTCTAGACTGGAGCCTCTATTTTCTTGAAATTTCTCCTCGGTTAACCTAACAAGGCTGAGTGGACCCCATTTCAGAACCACTACTTCTCAGAGAATCTGGTAGCGCCGGGAATCGAACCCGGGACCTCTGGATCTGTAACCAGGAACTCTGACCACTAGACCACAGAGGCAGTCCTGAGAACAAACAATCAATCCAAAATAAGAATATTGTGTATTTTATTGCCATTGGTGGGGAAAATGCTAGCACAACAGAAGCTTGATAGATGGTACTGCTGCTGATAGCAAAGACTGGGAAAGAATTTTATGTAGGCAGCCTCAAGACATAGTGACAAAAGTTATCCTTGGGAAAAAGGCAAATAATGCTATTAGTAAGATGCCGCTTTCACATGATGTTCTGTGTCAGATAATGTCCATGGCAGAAAATGTGGAATACTATCTGTTGTCATGCTTTCATCAGAGCCATAACTTCTTGCTTCAGTTTGTCAAATCCATCAATACAGCGGGTAATGCTAACTTGCTAGCTTGTGTCTGATATGATTATTTAAGGTGAAATACAAGGTGGTTCAAATATGACCGGGACTGATTTGTGTGTAAACAAGCTGCACTGCGCAGCAGCTGTGCGACCTTGAGAGAGTGAAGCCACAACCTCCACCCTCCCTCCTGTTAGGGTTAGAACCTGTTCAGTCCTGTCTGGGAGTTGCTAGAGTGATGAGTGAACAGAAGGTACCGTTGAGCGTGGAACAACGCATTGTGATCAGATTCCTCAGAGAAAATGTCCCATCCGCTGAAATTCACCACAGACTCCAACAACAGTATGGGGAAGAGTGTCTCTCACAGTCCCGTGTGTTTGAGTGGTGTAAGTGCTTCAGAGAGGGCAGAGAGCGCATGGAGAATGAACCGCATGATCGTCGGCCGCGAACATCCATCACCGAGCCAAACATTGATCGTGCAGACGCACTTATTTGTGAGAATAGGCGCATCACTATCAAGGAACTTGGAGCAATGCTTTCCATAAGTGTTGGTAGTGTAGAAGACATCGTGAAATACCACCTGCACTATCGCAAGGTGAATGCACGGTGGGTACCACGCACTTTGACGGACGTGAACAAACTGATGCGCATGCAAGCTGCCAGTCGTCTTCTACAGAAGTTTGAAGACGAAGGTGATGCATTTTTGAAGTCCATAGTGACCACCGATGAAATGTGGGTGCACTACTTCATTCCTGAGTCCCAGCAGTCATCACATGAGTGGCGGCATACCACTTCTCCCAAACCCAAGAAAGCGTGGAGGGCCGTTGGGCAGGAAAATTGATGGCGACGTTCTTCTGGGACTGGCAGGGGGTTATCCATGTAGACTTTCTGACAGATGCCAGAACAGTCAGTGCAGCTTATTACTCAGACCTCCTGGCAACAGACATGAAGGAAAAGATCCGATCCAAGCAGAAGACACGTGGAAAGCGGGTAGCCTTACTTCAAGACAATGCACGCCCCCATATGGCCAAAACAACAAGGGAAACCCTCCAGAAACTGAAATGGAACCTTCTGACACATCTGCTGTACAGTCCCGATTTGCCCCCAAGTGATTTCTACCTGTTCAGAAGGCTCAAATCAGACTTTCAAGGCATGCGGTTTGTGGACAATGACGCCGTCGTCCAGACTGTTCAGGAGTGGATATGCCTCCAACCACAAGCTTTTTTTGAAAAGGGTATCAGGAAGCTTCCAGAACATTGGAAAAAATGTGTTGACTCCAGAGGGGAGTACGTTGAAGACTAACATGTGCAAGTAGTGTTTGGCAATTATGTTTTTTTTTTTAAATCAGGCCTGGTCATATTTGAACCACCTTGTACATGACAGATTTTTGTTCTGCCTACTTCTGTCTACCAACATGGGAGAATACATTTTTTGGATATTGAACAGTTTTGTTATTATTAATGAAATGGACTGAGAGACAGTGTCAGTGTTAGTGTTGACTGCACTTTGGCAGTGACAGGCAGGATGAAGAGCCCATCTGCATGTAGCCAATTACATTATGGCAGTGTGCTGTAACATTTATCTTGAACAGGTCACTGTTTCGAAGCCCATTGGTTTTAGAAGACTATGGAGCAAGGCAATGAAAAGTATGTTCCATCACAAGAATCTCTCTAAATGTGTCCATTTTTAAAGCATTGTGTGTAGAAAGTGAGAGTGAACACATGAAGCATCTTTTCTCTACTGAAGTACCCACCTGCTTCTTTGAACTACACATGGAGGATAAAATTTACCTGCTGGATAGTGACTGTCAAGTCTTTGACTTCTTGGTGCCATTCTTGATTTCTCATGGAATGCCAGTTGGCATACTTGGCTGACATTTTCAGCATCCTGAACAGACTTCACCTGGCAATGCAGGTCAGAGTTGTCGCTATCTTTAGTGTCAGTGACTAAGTAAAAGTTTTATATAAGAAGATAGAGATGTGGCTAGGCTGCCATGACTGCTGTACAGATTTTCTGAGCAAGGAATTTTGAAAAATGTCGACCCTTTCACATCTCCCTCTAGGGTTAGAAAGTGGGAAGTCATTACAGTGGATGAATTGTATGGGGTTTTGGCTCTCTCTATGTTGATGGGCATTATATGAAAGCCTACACTTAGATCATAAGGCTCATCACCCTCGGTGATGCTCTGATAGATGAACCTTTGGCTCTGTGTAAAGGTCATTTGTCTTTCTGGCAGTACATACACGTCAGGGTTGCCAAATGTGGCATTAAATCGAATGAACTCTGTGAGTCTAGCTCCTACTGTGTTTGGTGTTTTCTTCTTTGCACTGGAAAAGCATGGAACTGATGAATCAGTTTGTGACTGCAGAAAGAAACAAAACTGCAGCAGTTTAGTAAAACTGGCAGGACATCATCTTGGCCATGGACAGACTGTGCAGATGGACAATTTTTATAATTCAGCATTGGTTCATGAAGTCAGAAAAAAAGGACTATATTGGAACGTTATGTGCTAACAGGAAAAATGTTCATCCTATACTGAAGAGTAAGAAATTGAAGAAAGAAAGACACCATGTTCAACAATCTGGAGATGCAGCCGTTCTTGTGTGGCAAGACAAGCAGCGAGTCAGTGTGATATCTATGTACCACAAAGAAGAATTCATATGGTTATAATGAAAGCAAACCAAGAAGAAACAAAACTTGTGGATGTTTGTGATTACAGTGACATTTTAGGGTTGGAGCTGAAGGATCATATGTTACATCTGTACTTGGCTGAGCAAGTACCAAGAAGCAAGAAATGTACCAGGTGACATTTGAAAGTATTCGAGAGACTACTCAGTGGAGCAATACATAATGCAATGATCATGCATTGGTCACTCCAAAATAATAAAAACATAGATTCACTAAAATTTAGGTTTTCACTAGCACACAGTTGTGGCATTCCTCGTACTGTACGTGGTCATCCATCTGTTGAACTGTCTCACATTCCTTCCACTGGCAAGAAGGCAAAACCTAAAAGAAAATGAGTGGTGTGCATGGAAAATAGGAAGAGGAGAGAATCTATTTATTGGTGTAGTGAATGTGAAGCAGGGTTTTGTTTAGGTGGGTGTTTTAAAAGCTAGTGTACAAACCTCAGATTCTAATCTATTTGCTTCCATTTCACATATACAGCATCTTCATGTTATAAGATGAGCTTATAAATCCATCTCTTTAGAGGATTTGAGCAAAAATTTTGTTACTGCACCTGATATAATGAGAATCAAGTGTTTTGGGACAAAAATTAAATGGGCATTTGAGAAATATTATTGCAGGTTGTTCAAAACTGCAGTATTTAAACTTCCATGCTGAATGCTTAATTCTGATGATTTTTTGTGGCAACAGGTGGGATTGGGTGAATTAGGTGGCTCGTGGAATCCTTTGCCCAGTAGATGTGATCTGCAGGTAGAAAAGTTTGAGAACCACTGTGCTACTCTTATGTACTTAAGCAAGTCTGTTTTTTTAAATATTTGTATGTAAATTTAATTTTAATTATTTGCCCTTTGTATTGTTCCAGAAGGCTGTAAAACAGGAACTGGATTTATATCATTCTTACCTTGAAGGAGAAATAGAGGCAGATGGTGCAGATGAAGACTACAGCCTTGAACATCAGGTAAGTATTTTGCTTAAGGACTTCATTTACTCCTCTTCCTATCTATACTTGCAGTCCTTTACAGGACCACAGGATTTATTGCACACCACTCTTGTTAAGTCACTCTTAGCCTCGGTCCTTGTCCTCCCTTCCCTATATCACTAACTGTTTTTCCTGTGCAGCTTGCACTTCTACTGTGAAGATGGAGGCAACAAGTTCCTCTGAAACAGTAAATATCTGCCAACCTACATGGTATTACATTCCAGAATCCAACACTCTTCATTTATGCCAGTTGATCATTACTTCTCTTATAAAATGTGTTTCATTATTTTCTACATATTTTGCTTGAAACATTTTTTGCTTGATCAGTATTCAGTGAGCACACAGTGTATGCAGAAACACTTGTAGGTCTTTGTGTAATGTGTTGTTTTTTGGCACTGTTCATCATACAGTTGAATATATTGACAGATTTTAGTAAAGTTTTCCAGTATAAAATTTCATAAAATGTTGTGACATGATAGCTGAAAGCAGGAATAATGGGCCCAGTGGCCCACTGATAGGCAACAGCTGGTAAACACATTTCCACAGCAAGCAAAACATGCTCTAACTTTAACAATACCTGGGCCATTGCTAGGCAACAGCCGCTTAATATGTCACTCAACAGAGGAGGAATTATTGGAAGCAGTGTTCTCTGTTCCAGCCACGCCAAGGCTTATATATAGTGAGAACCAGTGTGTAAGTGAGTGAGTGAGTGTGTGCCCTCTCAAGTCACCTCCAGTAGAGGGTGGGTGACCAGTTTTCCTCAAACCCCCCCCCTCTTGTCTAAGATGAGGCCGAGGCCCCATATCAAAAAACAAACGTTTTGGAAAGAATAAAATAACCAAGATTGACTTTGCTGGTAGAGGCCAGTAGCAATTTGCCCGACTGAAGCTGGTGAGTTGACAGCGTGAGTTGTAGGATGGTTGACAGTTGGCAACGAGATGAGCATGAAAGCTGAGGAATCTCCGCTGTTGGAAGTCGCTACATAGTAACATTTAGTGAAGATTGTAGTAGACTGAAATTTAGCATGTGCTATAGTGATTTGTAAAGTGTTCATCTAGTGAGAGTGTTATAGTTATTTGTAGTTGTGAGGTGTGTTAAGTGTTCAGTAAACACAGGTTGTGAGGTTTAAGTGTTCAGTAAATGCAGTTGTCAGCCCAGACCCCATGTCCTGTCAGTAACACATGGCAGCTGGTGTCAGAAATTGGATTGGTTTGATGGATTTTATTGAAACTGACATGATAACTAACAACAGCAGATATGGAAAATCTGCTGGCCTCCTTGTTGATAATGCAAGTGACTAAACAAGTGGGAATGGCTGATATTAAGGCCACAAGGGCTGGCCAAGAGGAAATTAATTCCAGGATAGAAGTCATGATAAAGATTGGCTAGGAACAGATTAGAGCCCATTCATTTGCAGATGTGCTAAGAAAGTGACACATAAGATGACAGATACTCCTTTGGGGCAAGAAGACACTCAGCAAGGGCCTCTATTAGGCCCTCAAGCTGGAGGCAACTGACAGCAGCCATAACACCGTCCAGGGTCTGACAAACAGTATTTCTTTTTGCAACATTATGGGAGAATTATAAAAGGTGCTTCAAATAAATAATGGTATGATTCAGTCCCTGGGCCTCTCCATATCCAGACATATAAATACAAAATCAAATGTCCTTTGATTGTAAATGTGTTCATTAGTATCCTAGTATTGGATAAACAAACTCTGTAATCTTGCATTATTATAGATCATTTCTCAAAATGTATTAGCATTTCCTTTGGCTTTGTTGTTAGCTATTGTTGCATTGAAATCTGCTGTTAGTTCTAATATGTCTAATTTGTTGTCTTTGTCTATTACTTTTTGTAAATCTTCTTAACATTGTCACTTTGCAGGGCTTTTATACTGTGTAGTGGGGATGTAACCATGTTTTGTCAAGTATATTAATGGATGTGTATGAGAACAATATTTAATGATGGACACATCATTCAATTCCATGGTTATATGTCTAAAATTCTTACATTTCTTAAAAGAAAGTCAAGTTTGGTGAACTGCTTTTGATGGCATTTCTTTTTGCCTTTTAATTTGATTGCTTCTCTTACAACAAATAGTGCACCACTTTTATGGTTGACCATGTGTGCTTTGAAGCATAAAACTGGTATATTTATTGACTGTTTGTACACCTGTCCATCTCATTTACAGTGGTTTTTGGTTATCACTCGTGTTCTTGGTGTCATCAGCTTCACTTGTGCTTGTACACGTTTTTTGCTTATTTTAATTACAGAATCTGATCTTTCTAGATGCATAGGTGTTCAGTATAAAACACTAGTGTCTAACTGGTTTTAAGTATTCACCTTCACTTTTGCAACTATTTCTTTTCTTTGAAAGCATGAAACCTTGTTTTGTTGTTTTAAGAACAGTTTTTCTTTTCCCACTGTAAAGAGCTTCATTTGACATGTCTTCTCTATCAGTCATGGTTAGTTCACTGACCACAAGTGCAGACAACACATCACCAACACGCAGGTGAGAGAGATATTGTAGGGTAGATTAAAAGAGGGGAAGAGATTCTTCCCAAGAGCTGGGCTGGGAGTGAACTCTGCATTCATAGTTAAAATATCTTGGGGTTTGAGATGCAATGGCCAATTATGTAATTAATATTTGCAGTGTTCAGGCTGGAAACTTCTATAGTGCTGAATAAAATAGGAAGGTGAATATTAATTGAGGATATGAGGAGATTTGTAAGGGCGGTGTTGTGCCTTTGAAGAAATGCATATTGTGGGAGTTGAGTAAACTACAAAAAGAAGGGGGGTGGGAAGAAAGAAGAAGACTAACGATAGAGCATCTTTTAGCTGAGATTCAAACTTGATGCCTCCAAAATGCACATCAGATGCATTACTGCTCTGCCAACCTTCTTGACTAATAGTTCAAACATACTGCCTGGAAAATTTATTTTTTTTATTTAATACAAAATGGAATTATCCCCTTAGTGAATACCATGTTATGAAGACATGTGAGGGGATGAATGTAAAACTCTGTACTTAATCTCAGCACAAGCTAGTAATGCTTTATGTGGAGAAAGTCACTGGTGCCCATTAGTTGGGCCCCAGTGCAAATCTCAGCGGGGTGATGGGAGCTGAACATCCTAATGTCTCTGCCAGGAATCAGACTTTGGATGATTAGTTTGTAGCCTGTCACTTTACTCACTGATCTCACTTTGCTGGTAATGTGCACTTACATTTAAAAAAAAAAGTAAACAATTCTGTAAGTCAGTGTGTATTATAAGAATTCTTCCTGACATTGTAGGATGATTCTGACAGCAATAATCGGGAAGATGCTCTTCCTACATCACCATTGGACCAGCCTGGCCCCTCTGGATTGGTGTCGAATCAAGGAATTGCAACCTCGGACAAAGCTACTACAGGTAATGTGCAATATATTTATTTCTGTATTTTGAAGGGGTAATTTCCACCAGACACTGTGAGGAGAGCTTGAGAGAGAGGGTACAGTGTTTATTGTGCAGACTCTTAAGAGCACATTGATATATTTGTGTATGTTTATGATATCTGTAGAAGCTGAATTTTCTATTTGATTATAGTGCTCAGACTTGTCCCAGCAATATTAACTTTAGCTGCAAGATTGCTAATAAGCATTTTGGGTGATTGATAGGTTGATATATAGTTGACTCAGCTGCACTGAGTGTTCGTAATTGTCAATGCCTAAAACAGGATTTGAAATCCAAAAGAAAAATCTTCGCTTGAAAGTAACCTAACATCATTCTTAGTAATGTCATTTCCTCCACATTAGAAGTAATAGTTATATTGCCATAACTTGTTGCAATGAAGGTAGATAATGTAGTTTCCTGCATGTCAGATATAGTTGTTGTATTGACAATGAGCGGTAGTTAAGTACAATAAAAACTCCAGTATAATAGAATTCATTATAAAATGAACTCTGTTCACAAATATACAGCACAGTATTTTCAGCATTTTTATTTTAATGTAAATATTGTTTAAAGAGCTATCAGTAGTGACTAGGTTATGAGCTGAATGACAGAATTTGGATCTGATTCCTGGCAGGCACAGAAAATTTTCTCTTAATTGCCCAGACCAGTTTTATGACCCACCCAATCTCCTGTCTAGTGGATACCAGAGCCATGTTAACAGGATGTGAATTGGTAAAGCTGATCACTTACTACCATCTAATGCCAAGGTGAAGATTGTGTGGGGTTTATACCTCCACCCTGACATCATCTTAATGGTGTGCTTAGCGAAGCACAAGGACAAATTTGCCTTTGCCTTACCAGATATTAATTAGAAGATTTAATTCTTTCTTGCTTTCTCACATTTATGTGTGTTTTTGTCATATTTCTCTAGCGATTTTAAGACCAGATTAAAAGTGAGGCTTAAAACCATTGCATTTATAAAATTACATTACTGTGAGGTAACCAGAATATCTTTTTCCAGTTATGGATATGAAAACTTTAAAAAAAAGAAAAGAAAATGAAAATTTGCTGCTCTAGATGACGGCAAACAAGGCATGTCTGGTTACTTAATCTTAGTGACTGAGGTCATAAGACATCCATCAGGGTTGTGGGGAGGTAATTGTTTTGTATTCTATGGAGGCAGTAATGTATGTGATTTTGTCTTCCATCATTGCTGTACACATACTAGTCTTTGGAAATCTGTTGCCCATGGTGTCATACAAAATTTACAGTCTAACAGAAGTTTCAAGATCTACAGAATAAATATAACACAGAAACCAACTCGTCTGTATTACAACGTGATATAGATCATCCTTATCTGTTCTGAATTTAAGAGCTGCCATTCAGCTTTAGGAATTCTTTTTTCACTGAAATGTTTAGATGTATTTTTAATGCAGAGTTCTTCCTGAACCCAGATTTTGGCAGTTGATACTTATTTCTCCTGGGTTTGAGCATAATTGTAGTCTATAGCAATCATGCAGTATATCAGTAAGTCTTACTCTCATTTAGCAGAGCAGCATACATTTTTCCTTTTCACCTGCCCAGAAGTTAAGAGAAACTGGGAATACTTCCCAGGTACACTAAGCTCCCTTTTTTTCAACATGTATTGGAGATATATGCGAGTTACACAAATCTGCCAGTTGCATGAGAACTCTATAAGTCAAAACAACATATTTTCACCTTAGATCTTGCGTATGAGTCTTCTTTGATGATGTAGCAGATAGGTGGGAGAAAGATTTTAATTGCACTGTAATGTGATTACAAATTCAAATTTCTTGTACTCTAATGGCCGTTATTTAAGGGAGGACAGTGGGCAGCATTTGCTAGTGGCAGCTGGGAGAACTACTACATGGCAAGTGGACGTAAACACATTGCAGTTTTGTTTTTTAAGTAAATGTATATTTTTTTTTATTTATTTGTTTATTTATTTTTTGCCAGTTGCAGAATAGTACTGGATGCTTGGGCACCGGATAACCAATAGTTTGCTGCATGTCATCAGTTCTATATGTAAAGCTTCTCAGCTGTTTTGATATGTCTCACCTAAATAAGAAACTTATCACCCAACTGATTTTAACATCGGTTTTTGGAAGGGGGAAGGGTGTTAGATGAGAACTGGAAAATGTTCAGAACCAGTGACCCAGTGTACCTAATGTATTGTCTTACAGCTTGACACATAAATGAAACCAGGAAATTCACCCTTCTTTAGAATTATTTTTTTAATCTCTTGTGGTCAAGATGTCAACCATTGTCTCCTGGTGGACCATGATCCAATTTTGAGTTCACCACAAATGCATGGGAGAATAGCAGTAGTTTGGCCGATTATAATTTATAAACATTTCTGAAGTAGTTCCTGGAACCTGGTGAGCGATGAATTGTTAAGATCTCAGAAAAGTGGCCTTCTGTTTAACAGGCTTATTTGGTTCTTAAATATTTGAGCCTACATTCTTGACAGTGAATATCATGTCAGATGTTGCTCCTGTCTCACAAACACCAACCTGAATGCATGTTTAAAGTAGCAGTTCAAAATTTATAAGAACAGTGGGCTCATTGCAGTGTAAGTCTTTTTCATCTTATTAATTAAATACGCATTTTCATATGCTTTGTACCAGTTTATATTAGTACAGAATCTTTTTAAACAAATATGTTTCTGTTTGTTAATTTTCACATAAAATTTTATGATGTATTAGATGATATTAATATTCACATAGAGACTTCAGAGATAGAATGGAAGTACAGGGTGTCCAGATGAAAGATATCCAAAGTAAAATAATTCTATCTCAGAAAGCATTTATCATACACATTTATGGATTACACCATTACAAAGGGAAACTATTAGAGTTTTTTTCTGAGTATATAACTTTGTCAGTAAATTTCACTGTGGGCTGTCTTGGTGACATGACAAATATCCAGACAACATTTGACCTCATTCCACGTTGCTTGAAGAGTGTTTGGTGTTACCATAGCCACAGCATCCCTTATGCATGCTTTCAGGTGTTGAAGGTCATTGATCTTAACGTGGTATACAATGTTCTTCACATAACCCCACAAGAAAAAATCAATTGGGGTTAAATCTGGCGACCTAGGAGGCCAAGCAGTTGGTCTACCTCTGCCATTCCATCTCCCAGCCATCTTTCTGTTCAGGTGATTCGTAACATAGTGGCAGAAATGTGACGGCGCCCCATCTTGTTGCAGGATAGTTTGAGCTGGTAATTGTGGCAACGCATACAGCTCCAGCATGTCCAGGTGCAAATGTTGGGACACAGTCTTTTCTGAAAAGATAAATGGTCAAATCAACTTGTCGTGCATTAAGTCAGCCCACATGTTCATTTTGGGGTTGCCTCTCTCCAGCTCACAGGTAACATGTGGATTTTCACTGCCCAAGACCCTGCATTTATACCTGTTTACATTTCCATTGATATGAATTTGTATAACTTAGGACAGGGACCCGGGCAGGCTCTTGTAAACATGATAATGAACTTTTGGGTTACATAACATGCTTGAAATTTCTTGATAAGCTGAAAGGTATCCCTGTAACAGGCCGTGGAGGCCCATAGGGTTGTGAGATGTTCAGGTTCCCACATTTTCTAGACAGTCGGCTCAGATGGCTGCAAAGCTGTTGGCCCTAACCACCGGCCGCCCTTTACTTCCAAGAATATTCCTGGTACTCATTTCTGTTAGAGGCTGAGTTGACCCCAGGGCCATAGTGCGGCTGGAAGGATTAGGTCAATTGAAAAAGTCCAGTGACCTCATCAGGACTTGAACCCATGACCTTCTGGATTGTAGCATAGTGCCTCAACCAACTATGCTACCACATGCCCCCTCACTTAACATAGTAAGCCTCTATGTTATGTTCTTATTACACAGTAAGAAAATGTACATTAAATTAAATAAATGGATCACAGAGTTCAAGACAATTTAGAAGTAGCATTTACAATACAAAAATCTGCCAAATCCTGTTGTTAAACAGTCTCAAAACTTCAGTGAAGCAGGAACACCAATAAATATAGCAGAGCCTAAGACTTTGTTTCTCGTAAAGAAACTTTATAGAGGGACATAATTTCTGAGCACTCAAAGTCATCTCTAGTCTTAGTACAGTTTTTGTCTCTCACTCAGCTCTCACTTACTAATGACAGTGCATAGTTTATGTATTTGTGTCTCACAACATTACATCCTCCTCAACCAGTAGATGGAAATTTGCTGTTATGCCATAAACATGAAGTTTTTTTTTTTTTTTTGCCCTAAAAGAATGTCTGATGGATGAGATAGGAATTTGGCCCTCCGAAGTGTGTGTACAGGATGAAACATCTGTAGTTCACTTATTGAACTTTTTAGATAGGAGAGGAGCTTGGACTTTTCCTTAAAATAGAAACTTTTCTAATTGCATGATGCTTGTGGTACTTATTCCTTTCATAGAATAATGGTGAATATATTTGTACGTAGGTAAGTTAATAATTATTCGCAATGTAGCTATAAATTTTATTTCAATACAAATAGAAAACTTATATTAACATCATTTTTCAACATAGTCTCCTTGCTTTTCAACACACTTGGTCCATCGTTGCTTCCTGATGCCTTCAGAAAAGGTTTTTGGCTGAGCAACGAGCACGCATGCACCGCTTCCTTCACTTCTTGGTCCGAGGTGAATCGACGGCCCCTTAATGCCTCTTTGAATGGACCAAACAACTGGTAGTCCGAAGGGGCGAGATCAGGACTATACAGAGGATGAGCCATTACATCAAACTTGAGTTTCCGGTGGGTTTCAGCAGTGTGGGCAGCAGTATGTGGATGGGCGTTGTTGTGCAACAACACAACACCTTTCCACAGTAGTCCTCGGCGTTTGCTTTGAATTGCAGGCTTTAGCCTGTCAGTAAGCATCTCACTGTAATGAGTACTGTTTATTGTCATGCCCCTCTCCTGATAATGTTCCAGTACTGGGCCTT